ATTAATAGTACACAATAATTAATCATTAAACCAATTAAGAAAACATGATAAAACCATGATTAATAAACCAGTATTAAGAAAAAACAGTAAAACACATTTCAACTCTTTTCCTTCACAGTGTTAAACTCTGGAATAAAGRSATGCAAAGATTAATTCAATAAAACTTTGAGTAATGATATATTGATTATAACCTCTAACAGAAGATTAAATGAAGAAAAACATATAGAACATATTGTCCTATTCACTTAAAGAAAATAGAAACAAACTTTAAAATGACTTCCTTCTTATAAGTGTAAAAGCAAAATCAAAGACAAAGAATAGAAATGTTTATTTCACCAGGGTTACCCCTACACTATGGAACTACTGGAATATTGAAAACCACGCTTGGTGATAACACAGGCAAACTAGGCAACTAGAATCAATATAATAACTGTCATTTATGTATTTTTTTGATAATCTTACTGTAAATCCTTCAGTGTGATGATCATCTGCTCTGACATATCATACTCCACATCCTCCGCACTCATTTAATGTACAGTAGTTGCTCATCTCATATCTGTCCATCTGTCTTGACACAGTGGAGTAATACAACACTCATCATGCATGGGCAATTAGTGTGTTGTTTTGACTTCTTGGCAGAAATATACAGTAAATTACAAATGTTCAAGATAACCCTGTGATTGGAACTGTCTTTTTGTTTAGTGTGTGTTTGTTGTGTTGTTGTGTTTGTTGCGTATAGACTGATAACATATACTTTTGTGTACAAACGGTTCTTGTATCTCCTTATTTACAGGATGATGTGTATGACAACATGACTCATAAAGAGGTAAGAGACACAAACATTACACACAGACTTTACAATCAATGAGAGCAGAGCACAGGCTGTTATTTAAGCCAATTGTCGTGGCAAGAATGGTGAGAAACACGGTGAAAAGGTGTTAGAAAGACAAATAGTCTTGCGGGTATGATCATAAGTCATTTATTAATGGGCAGACATGGAACAGAAGGCAATCACGAAGTCTGTAAGATGTGGGCCCGGCTGTCATAGGCCGGGCAAGCAATGTTATACTGTCAGTTATCGCCATATGATAATGAACAACGAATCATAACCTGCCTCGTTCTGGTAC